TGCCGACCATAGGAAATTAATAGGAAAAACTCTAATGGCAGGACAATATTTTTTTTTTCAATTCAATTCTCACTTTATTTTTAATGCACAATTTCAACAACTGGCACTGACCATTGTGCTGTACAGTAAAACATAACAAACATAACAAACATAACCATCAGATACATTCAAGCACAAAGTCACAGATGGAAAAACAGAGCATAAACAGTCAAATATCACATCACAGATAGTAGGCCAGATCAAATATAAACTTTTTAGCTTAGATTATAATTGTGGCATAAAAGCATTTTTTAAAATATGTGTAAAATAAAATATATGTATCAGCTACTATGCTGAACAAACACACAGAGAAATGAAGTGAGACTATAAAACATCCAGAGTGTAAAAGATTCTCATCTACCAACCCTTACACACAAAGAGCGTAAAATGAGTGGATGAGTTTATGACTATACACATTACTGCAAAAATTACTGCGTAAAATTGAGAATTGTTACACAGCAGGTCTCTGCTTAGAACACTCCAGCCATCTATTGACCACAGACACCAGGTTAGATGCCATATTGAATTTAACATGAATTTTTTCATTGCAGGTTGTACCTGCACTCACTCACTCACTCACTCACTCACATCATTAACACATCCCTTCACACTGGTGTTTTTCCCTCAGCATTTAGACAGGCTCATATAACCCCACTACTTAAACCCATCTCTTTTAGAGAACTACAGACCGGTTTCCCTTCTTCCTCTCATTGCAAAAACACTTCAACGAGTTGTGTTTAACCAAGTCCCTGCCTTTCTCACACAGAACAACCTCCTCGACAGCAACCAGTCTGGTTTCAGAAGTGGACATTCAACCGAGACTGCCTTTCTCTCAGTTGTTAAAACACTCTTCTGGCTGAGCTGAACAAGACATTCAGCATGTGTACCTGTTAAACACATTGAGAAGGATGTGATTTAAAACTGGTGAAGATACAGCACAGAATAGCAGCAGGGAAGTATCAGATTACAAGCAGACACAGAAATAACCTACTACGAGTCCTTAAGACTTGCAAACTGACCACTGGTCTACATGCATCTAGAGCTTTGTATTTTATAGAGTTAGGCCAAAGACATTTTGCTGTAGAAGCCTGTCTATTGTCATAATCATGAAATGCAACAAAAAACTTTACTGATAAACGCAGTAGCAAGACAACATTTGGCAGAGTTTGTTCAAGCTCAAACATGTCAATTGAATAGAAATGAATTTAAAACTCCAAACACTGGTCCTAAGAAAAAAGTTATAATCATTTAATCTCAAAGAACATAAAAGCTAAAAACATATCTAGGTTCCATCCATATAAATAACGTTTGCGCTTCAGCATACAAACCTGTGAGACTCACAAGCTGTAAAACTGCAGAGAGATATATACAAATCCAAAGAAATGCTGAAACATATTCAACGTGCTCAGGGAAAAGCAAATGAACAGAAAAAAAACGTAAAACTGAACATCAATAACAACAGCAACAATACGGATGCCATAATATCACAAAGCAAAATAATTTTAAAATAACGCCAAGGCTAGCCTCTTAATGAGTTATTCTTAATGACTTATATTGTTGATGACTATATCATTAGCATTAAGTAGCCAACCTTACCTGATCAGATTTTCTCTTGTATTAGCTTTAATGAACGTGCTTTACAAACACAAAGTTAAAGCAGCCAAAGAAAAAGGAATGCTTAAGGGGTAAGAGCCCAACTGAAGCAAACACTGATCTCATGGTGACATCAAACTTGACTATTTTTAATAAAAAAATCAACATCTAAACTTCTGTTAATTCTCAACAAGAACTTTTGTATGCAATTAAGTCAAACTGGTTAGTAATGAACAAAGATGCTGAGATCTTGAGAGATCTGTTAGTGTTTAATGTTCTGTTGCTGCAAGTTATTTGACTTTTATTTATTTATTTATTTATACAGTGAAGGTGTTTGTTCGTAATAATTCATGAAATACCTGTCAAATAACAGTGATTGTTAAAGTTTAAATAAAGTTTTTGTACTTTATTTAAATTAGGATATTTTACTTAAATGTTAGTTTTTGTTTGGCAGCCGATGCTGCCATTTTTTTTAAACGGTGTGCGCAATGGGGCCATTTGCACCATCTGGTGGTTATTTCATGAACTATTATCGCCATTATTTCTTGTAATTTTACATACATTTCTATGTAATTTATGTAATGCATCGATAATGATATAATACTTAAAATAACAGCCAAATTGTTAATTTTACAGATATTGTTAGCAATTTTACAAACTTTTGCATACAATTTAAAATGACTGGGGGAAAATATTAATTATTTTATGTAAAAATAGGTTTTTTTTACAGTGTATTTTTGAAAATATATTTCTACATTTAAAATATATTGTAAAAAAAAAATAAAAAATACAAAAAATGGCCAAGAAATATATTTGCTAAAATATGTTTAAAAATATATTTACATAAATATATTTTCTACTAATATGTTTTAGGCAATTTTTGTATATTTTTTGAAAATATATTTATACATTTAAAATATATTTTAAAAAAATATACAAAAAATGGCCAAAAATATATATCCTAAAATATATTTACCAAAAAATATATTTTCTACCAATATATTTTGGCCATCTTTTGTATATTTTTTAATAATATAAATTAATGAATTAAATAATATATTTTAATATATAAATATATATTTTTAAAGCATTTAAATATATATATTTTTGACCTCTACATATTTCAGTCCAAGAAAATGCATTTGCAATGCCCAACATATATTTAGCATATATTTCAAATATATTTTGGCCACAAAATATGTATTTTTTGTTGCCATATAGGCAAGGGAATTCCATCGGAAGTGAGCATGCTGTACTCACTCAAAGGGAGCAATGGAAGACAATATCATTTCATCTTTATCTTCAAAGATGACAAGAATCTCTCATTTATTGCTGTTAATTTAACTGCTGTTAAATGTTGCCATTTGGACCCTCGACCCTCGAGGTAGTCACATTTAGTAGCTTATAAACTGTTAGATCAAGACTACATGTCAAAAATTTCAGATCCGACCCCAGACGCTGGATCCTGTCAGAGATATCTGTTTTGTCTTGTATCCAAAACCCAGTCAGCAGAGTATATCCAAAAACTTTGATTACATTATAAATCATTATAAATGAATAAATTAACATACACTCTAAAAAATGCTGGGTTAAATATAACCCAGCGCTGCGTTATATTTAACCCAGCATTTTTTAGAGTGTAGAAGTAAGGAAAAACAACAACAACAACAACACAAATATAGGCCTATGATTAGGCTATTCTCTTGAATCAACATACAGGTTGCTGCCAAGATCCCTTAGATCTTAAATGTTACAAAACATTTTAAACTACATATTAAATCTATTCATGATAACAATGTGTGTAATATACCACAAGACAAATTCATTTATTCTACATTTTTGGTCACTTCATTAAAGCACTGCAGCCTATGTTGAGTTTCTTTTTCTTTTTTATTCCTTTTTTTAACCATGAAATATCAGTTTTAATTGTACATGTATGTAAGTTTAGTGAGCGGGTACGAAATGCAGCGCAAAGGGTGAATTGCTTTATGGCAGCAACAAATGCAGGTGTACAGCGATCCACTCATAGATATATAGATGTAGATGTCTCATTAGCGACTGTTTCTATGGGCCGCTATACATAAGCCGTCCGCCATATTGTATCGGTCAACTTGACGTCATTCACCATAGTAATCACTGAATATTCGAAAGATGCCACAATCCTGCACAGAAAGGCTCAACGGCTCTGTGAGAACCTACAGTATGGCGAATGACCTCAAGTTGACCGTTCCAAGATGGCGGCCGCATCTACGTGCCTGGAGCCGTCGAATGGGGTATCTAGACCTATCCATGGATCCACTGTAATTACGACAGTAATAGCCTATATTTATGGCAATGAAAAAAACGAACAACACATAACTATGTACAGTTGTCGGGTAAAACTGTTGGTTTGATCTGAGAAGGTTAGTTTTCGGCTATAAAAAATAAAACCTAAAATAACCATTAGGAAACGTTCTAAATGCAATGTTCTGGGAAGGTTAGTTTTTGGTTATAAAAATAAACCCTGAAAATAATTATTAGGAAATGTTCCCTTTATCATCCTTCCTTATCGAGTAAAAAAAGGCGAAACTTGCCTCCTACTACGGCGAAGGCTTAATATGTGAATATTAATTACGTAATACTGACGTTGCTTGGTAACCGTGAAAGAGCGTCCTCTCAGGCAACCTAATTAATATTCATAATCCAAGCCTTCGCCATAGTAGGAAATGTAAACTCACCGGTGGGATTCACACACGCCTCCCATCTCCCATGTTTACGTCAAATCTTTCCCAGCCGCGGATGTTATTGGAAAAGTGGGGCTACAAACCGCAACGTATGAACTAGAAACCATTGAAAAGTTCTCAAAGCTGATATTTCCATTAACAGCGCGGATACCGAAGGCAACGGCGCGCTGGCTGAATGACCGGCTCTGTGGCTCTGTGGTTTTGTGCGCCAGTAGCGTAGCTGCAGCCGCCAGGCCTGTGTTCGCATCATTTACAAGTATGAATCGCCAAGGGATTTTAATCGCTAACGATGTTTATCGGTCTGTGAAAGCTGTTACGTTTCGTTTGTATGTTATGTTTGGCTTTTTAATAGATAGCTTTCACTACTATGTTAATATGACTAAATGACAGTGAGACATGTTAGCTAGCCAGGCTTGTTGTTGCTGATTCTACTGCGATTAATGAGGATCGCATGTATGCAATAGAGCTGGACATGGTCATGCTACACTTGTGTGCTATTTTTGGGGTTAGTGTAGAGACCGGGGCTTATTTTAGCCAGAATAACGGTAACTTGATTTTCCTTACATTGATGATGAGGCCAGTAACTAATGACACAAACAGCAATTTGCTTGATGGTTCTTTGTAATGGTAAATCACAGTAAAAGTTGCGTAATAGTGAAGGTTAGGGCGGTCTTATGCAATCAGTGCTCGCGGCGATGTAAAAGGTTGGATAATCGCTGATCTCTGTTTGAGCGCATCATCTACTCCAGAAAGCACCAGAACAACCCAGGGCTTCTGCGGGACTTTAAAAGTCTTAGTTCGCCCTTCCACAAAGTAGGCTAAGGCAAAAAGGGGTCTTAAATAAGAGCAGAAAGTCTTAAATTCAAGCCATTAAATGCTGCATGCATTACAAAAAAAAAAAAAAAAAAAAAGATATCTTCCACAGTAACTTGATTTGTTTTCCATTGCAAATATCTAAACATCCTTAAATCAAGATACATTCACATGAGATGCAAACTGAACAAAATTAAGTAAGTTTATGCTTAAAACAAGAACAAATATCTGTCAATGGGGTATCAGCTGATTTTTCTGACCCCATTGTCAGATATTTGCTATTGTTTTAAGCATAAACTCACTTCATTTTAATCAATTTCTCATAAGACAAGACTTATTTTGTCATTTTGCTTCTCATTTTGATTTAACAGTCAAGAACATCACCTTTTTTGCAGTTTGATCAGAGAGTACAGTAAAAAAGTAAAAGTAATTAAAATTAAATGGAGATCTGTTGAAAGTTTTATTTTCAAACTTTGAAGCGTTGCTAATACAAGACATTTTCATTCAATTTATTCTTTAAATTTTCCTGGTCTTAAAAGAGCTTAAAGGGGTCAGATGACATTGCTAAAAAGAACATTATTTGGTGTAATGCAATGTGTTTATGCCGTTTAAGGTTAAAAAAACACATTATTTTCCACATAATGTACATTATTGTAGGTCCTCTATGTCCCGCCTCTCTCAAACGCATCGTTTTCTACAAAGTCCCTCCTTCCGACAAGCGCAGTCTGCTCTGATTGGCCAGCTGACCCAGTGCAT